TTGAAAAGTTGTTTTATCAAAGAGCAACGTTGAAGCTTTTTCAAAATATCGTCTATACGAACATTATTGGAAACCCGGATATGAAAACTTAAAAACAAATTCAATATGGAATAAGGATGACACTTGAATTAATATGCTTGAATCACTTTTCACCTTATTTAACGTTTATTGCAAGTTACTAGTAAAGATATTTCCAATGGCCATATTAAAGGAACAAGTTGAATCAATTTATCAAACACTTGGTGTGCAAGTGAATTTTTCAGAATTTTTTCTTGAATTGTGTTGATACACAAATCTATTTATAATCAAATATAATTATAGTCTATATCAACACTTAATTTAAAATAAAAAATAGTTCAGAAAATTTCTTACAATTCAATTGATAACGTAATGCTATTTGATAAATTGATTGATGAAAATAAAAGCAAGTAAAAGCAAAAATAAAAGAGACACATGAAACTTGTCTTCACAGTTCCCCACTGTCGTCCTCGCGTGTGGATACATCGCGCCTAGTTCCAATAGAATTAGGATAATTCTTACTATGCAAAAAGTTGATACAAGGGAAGTGTTCAAGATCAACTCCATAAATCCTAATGCTTGTTGTTGATTCAACCCCTTCTCTTTTTTTGATCTTGAGAAAGACCAAGACACAATGGATGCAAATTGACTATCTGGATCTTGCTACTCCTTTGTGTTATTTATCTCCAAAGCTTCCGTGCACCTTCAATTTCAAACTATTGCAACACAAGACTTCAATTGTAATCCTCCGTTCTCTCGCTACTTCCTTTGTGTTCTTTATCTCCAAAGGATCTCTTGCGTTCTTTATCTCCAAAGTACTTCACTTGACCGCAATTACCTCTTGAACGTCTTGCACGAAACCCCCAAATCAACCAATGATCTTGGAGGACAAACCCACAGTTTTTCTCGGATGAAGACCCCTACAAAGCTCAACCCAATACTCAATTGGACACTATCAATCCTCGTCTAGATGGCACCCCAACGAAATATCATCACAATGTAATGTCAATATGTATGCATAGATTGGAGGTTGAAGATTATAAGCTAATTTTATGGTATCAATAAGTTATGGATGCATGAATAAGTATTTATAGTTTTTGAACTTTTAGGGCAAAAAGGACAAATTCGGATATAAAAGGATTTGAAAAAATTGACCAAAAAATTAGTATGTGTCGACCTATATATCGTATGTGTCGACACATACTTATTTTTTATGTTGTATGTGTCGACCTGTATAGGTCTATGTGTCGACCGAACTGAAACAGAAGCTACAAACTTTAAAATGCTAGCAAATGTGTCGATCTGAAAAATCGATGAGTCGACACATAAAATAATAATTTCTGCGAAATGCTTCCGTATGTATTGACCTATGTAATGCATGTGTCGACCTAAGACTTACAAAGGCTACACGCTTAAAAAATGAGTTATACGTGTCGACCTGAAAAATAGATATGTCGACACATGTAATAGAAAGTTATACAAAAATTTATTTTTAATGACTTGCATCAATTTCAAAATATTTTTTAATAATTTCTAATACCTCTAATGTACAGGAATGCCACAAAACATAAATATACCGTCTAATATACATAAATATTAACTTCCCCCGTTTTAACATCATGTAAAATATTTGATGATGAAATTGTACTCATATTTATATCATCGTAACTTTCATTTTAAAATAACATAGAATATGTTTTGTAAGGATAATTTTGGCTTAGAGATTAGTCTTTACATTTCTTCAAAATATTTATTTTAATTTCTACAAAAACATAAACGATTAAAAGCAAAGCACTTAAAATGACTATAAATTATACTAGAAAACATGAAATGATTGTCATCAATTGTCATTAAATCAAACAACCTTCGCATTATATCATCTTTTTATTTAAATCAATCTACTATTTACACAAAACATATTAATAGATTAAAAATAATTCAACAACTAACAACTTATTTTTTTTAAATGATTTTTATAATATTATATATTTTTTTAAAAAAATTTATAAAGATTTTTATTTAAAATACTTCAAATAAAAAATTAACTTAAATAATTTTTCATAAAATATCGTTGAGTATTTTATCATTTTATTATAACTTTTATAGATATTATTTTATGAATCACATAAATTTGAAGTTATTTTAAATAAATTTTTATTAAAAAATATTTTTGAAAAATTATGTGATTTTGATTATGCTTTGATATTTAATAATATATATTTATATTACTGAATAACAAAATTAATCTTTTAACTTATAAAAATTAAATTTAAAAACCATTTATTATTTAAAAAAAAAAATTATTTTTAAAGTTAAAAGAAACCAACCAATTTTCTAAAATATTTCAATTTCATTTTGGCTGACAGGAAATTAACTAGATAAACATAGTTGCATTCCCAATTTCAGATAAGTACTACTACAGTCCTTGTGTTTTTCTCAGCAGAAAGAATTCTGATCCCAATCTTTAATTACAATGTTCATGATCCGGATTTCATGCTCTAGAGATAAATAAATCTGAAAACATTACTTGGAATAAAATGAGATAAATCTACATTATTAAACCTAACAAAGGAAAACAAAATACGGCCTCTTAAATGTTGAGTACCAAATGATCATTGATTCTGAGATAGCATGGCCATACCCATTCTCTTGTGTCAGAATTAGAGTTCTGCCACATGCACCATGTGGTCCTGGAAAAGGTAGCTGTGCTAGATATTAAGGTCACCATAGCATCAACAATAAAATACTCCTAATCTCTTTTTTTTCAATTAAAGTTGGATCTCTACCAAACATAGTGAAAAAGTTTACAATATAATTAATATTATAACTTTTAAAAAATCTTGATATTAATGAACTCTAACTATATACCCACAAGTAATTTAGAAGATTCCACCCAAATTGATAAAAACATATAGTGTGTAACAAAGTTAAGTAGCCGCATCTATCAACCCTAAATAAGGCTAATGTAATTTATTGCTTACTAATTTGGTTTAAAACCATTAACAAACAATTTCAGCTAATCTTCAATTAACAATTTGTATTAAGGTATGAGATGTAAACTTCCAACAAACAACGTCCTTCACGTTGTTGAAGTTTCACAATCTAAAATCTTTGATTATGACTCTCCATTCTTTAAATGGTCACCACCATAATTCCATGCCATCATTTCAACTCATAATGTCCACAAAGTTGAACTGTACTGTAGAAAAAATATCACTAACTACAAACTACTTTTTTTCAATCTATTTATTTGTCGCCATTTCCTTTCATTCAACATTATTTAAAAAATTAAACCAATCCTCACATGGAGGGAACAAACTTGAATACCCAAATAATAAATAAGACAATGACATCTTTCAGCCTAAATTTCAAAAGGAAAGTCACCTCTTTTGCCTCACAATTCAACCATGATTTATGGCTTTTCTTATATTCCACAAATCAAATCTACTTTATAAAACAAATATTATTGTTAAACTAAACACTTTCAAATTCATATCTAAAATTTTACTGTTGTGAATGAACTTATGATATCGCAGATTCTAATTTTTGTCTATGTATATCTGAAACATCTGATAGCTCTAAAAGACTAATAACTGAACTAATACAAAAATTTACATTTACAAAGAAAGGAGTATCAAATATTATACCACTACATAAGATTCAAATTCAAATACCAAATTAATAGTCATACATTCATTGCTATATATCAAATCATTAGTAAATTTACAAAAATCAGATAACTCTAAACCTCTGGTTCGACTTCGCCTCCCCAGCCCAGGCATACCCTTAGAAACTCATTCAAACTTTGAAATATAAAAAAAGAAAAATATTTAACATTATAAAAATATATTTCTATATAATAATATATATATATAATATATATATTCTCTGTCAATATATTAAATTCCACGTCAGCATAATCTCCAATCCAAGCGAACCTCAGCGGGTCCATGCACGTGCTGACTTGGTTTCCTGAACGAAACAATGTGACTACTGACCATGAAAGCGGTTACACGTTCCGAAACTCTAACATCTTCCATCTTTAATTCCTGCAACCTAAGCACGTACTCCGGCACGTGCACTAGGTCCCACACAACGCATACGCCTCCCGGTTTCATCACTCTCACCATCTCCGCCACCGCTCTCATCCTCTCCGCCGCCGCCTCCGCCGTTTTCTGCCCGTACTCTTTCCCTACCGTATGAACAAACACGCCGGAAACCACCACATCGAAGTAATTATCCGGAAACGGTAACCGACGAGCATCACCCTCACGACACGTCACGTATTCACCAACGCCTTCCATTTTCGCCGAACGAAGAGTTGACAGCGTCGTCCGTTTCGATCTGTCAAGACCGACGACACGGCCGGAGCTTCCTTCTTTCTTCAGCTGCGTCGCAACGGCGTTGAGGAGGATCCCGCGGCCGCAGCAACCTAAATCGAGAGCAAGCTTCACGGAGGACCAGTCGTTAACAGCGGAGACGATCCTCTGTGCCATGTCGTAGTGAAGCGGAATAGCAGAGTAAAAGAAATTCGCCGCTGCAAAGAAAAGACACACCGCCGAGAGAGCCGTAACTGAACCGGTAAATCCGGCAGCGAATCTGGCTACGGCTGTGCCAGAAATTACTCTCTCAAAGAAACCACAAATTGAATTGAAGTAAACCAAATAGAGAACAGATAACACAGACAGTAAAATTGCTTGACATAAGAGGAAAATTAGGGTTTGCCATTGCTCCATTCCGTAGATCGAGTTCATCTGCGTCCATTCCTTGCTATGGTTTGTTGATTTTCCCATAATGATTCAGTTTTTCAGTTTCAGTTTCACCCACTGGCTGAATTTGAATTGAATCGAGGTTTTGTTGTTTGTATATCTGCAACATAAGATAATATAAGGATTTTGTTAGATTAATTATTTTGAAATTTGATAGATTACTGAATTCGAATATGAATGTGAACTTACGGTTAAGAAAAGGAAGCTGAAGAATCAGATCCAAATGTGAAAAGAAAGAAGTGAGTGAGAGTAGAAATGAGTCACTGATAAGTGAACAGTTGTTGATTCTTCTTTTGTTTTGAATTTTGATATTGAAAGACGCGTTTTGATTCGTCGTTTATCTCTTTTTATTGTGTCAGAGCAAAACGGCGAGGTTATTCTGCGTTTAGCTTTAACATCCTTCTTTGTAAAGAGACTGAGAAATTGTACGAATTTGGAGAGATGGAAAATGGGAATGGGACCGACCTTGTTGTTGGTTGTGTTTTTATGATGGTATACAACGAAACAACGTGTTTTATACTACTATGTATGTGTATACGGCGGTGTATTTGAAAGTTTGAACTTTGAAGGGGTTTACCGGTTTACCGGGTGAGGAGGTTGCTGAGTGGGAAGGGAGCTGTTTTTTTGATTGGGTCGTTGTAACGTTGGTAAGCCTGCAATATCAACTTCTGAGATACTTTATTGTAATTGGGTTGGAGCTCATTTTAATTATTTTCTATTTTCATTTTATAATGAGAAAAATCTAAATCACGTATATCCTAAAAAACTGTTATAAATATTTTTATAATTTTCTATTTTCACTGTTATGTAGTACTCTCTGTGTAATAATTTATAAGTAAATTTTGTTTTTTAAATTTATTAAATAATTAATGTATTATATATATTAAATATATTAACTATTCAATAAATTTAAAAAATAAAATTTACTTATAAATGGATATGAAGGGAGGGAGTATATGAATGTTAACCGATAGCTTAAAAAATATTGGATAGTAGTAAAAGTTAAAAGAATTTCAGAAAGAAAAAAAAAAGAAGTAAATTTATTACATTTTACTTATGTTTTTGACCAAATCTTTATCAGTTGGGCAAGGGAAGAGATTGTCTTCCATGAAATACAAATTTAATAGAATTTTAATCATTTAAAATTATCAAATTTAAGAAAAGAGAAAATTTTAATATAAAAAATATCGATTGTTTGTTTTTCAGTGAAAATCAGATAGGAGAGAATTTGTTCCTGTTGAACAAAGATATAATATCTATTGATTTTTTTATTATTCATTTTGACTAAGTAAAATATTAAGTATAAAATAATAGGTCAAACTAACTATTGAATTGGTAGAATGTAATCAAATCAAACCAAAAATATGATATATATAATAAGATTTTATTGTTTAAATTTACAAATAATAGATGGAATATAATGAAATATGATAAATTAGTTTTATTGATTTTTTTTTAATTTTATTTTTTATGTGTGCAATAGAATAAATTAATTTTTTATGTTTTATTCTATCAAATTATAAAAAGTATTCAAGAATAAAATGAAATTTTTATTCTATTTTGTTCCACTCTACTTTATAATTTAATTAATTAAAATAATAAAACTAATAATGTTTATTAGAATTTTGTTATTAATTATAGTTAATAGAGTAATTAATTAAGCAAAATTTAATAAATTAAAATACATTAATGAAAAAGAAATAAAAATAAACTAGGCTTTGTATTAATAAATGATATTTTATTTACCAAAAAAATGATATTTTAGATTTGTAGCTTATGACTTATCATTTATAAATGAGTTAAAAAAAGATGCACTGATATTGTAAAAAAATTCAATAAAAATATATTAATTTGTTATATTATATAAATTTTTTAAAAATGACGGTTTGATTTGGCTGAATTCATAATCATAATTGATTGACAATATAATTTTTTTTATTACACTATCCGAGCATCATTCATTTTCTCTTTATAAATTTACATATTCGTAAAAAAATAATTTAACAACAATCATTTTTTCGCGGAGTCATAATTTATTTTTACTGACTTATAATATTTCTATAATTATTGTTATTTTTTTGTTATTTTACATTTTAAACTTAACTCAACCGTTAAATTTATTAAATAATATAAAATTAATCAATTATTTGTTTTCAATCGAGCTTCAACTAACTTATAAGTCAACTAAATCAACTAAATTTTTTTTTTATCAAACCAAGTCTTAGTGTAAGTTTGATTTCTATTTTAGAAGAGTCAAAAATAATTTTAAGAATGTAAAATTGGTTTTACGAGTTTAATTCTTTTAAAATAAAATTGAATATGTCTTTACAATTGATTATACTGGAAACGCGATTTGTGACGGTTGAATATATAAACATAATTTTTATATTTGCAATTCAGTTTTGCATAAATTAATTCAAATATAAATCATTTTATCTCAAATTCAATCTTAACTAGAATTGATTTTTACAAAATCAATTTACTCAAAATCAAATTTTGTCACTACATAATCAAATACACTTCACATATTAATGTGACAACTATTTTAAAAGTTTAGTAAATACACATATAAAACACTTTTACACTCTTGTACTTGTTAAAAATGCAATATGTGACAACTCCTCATGATTAAGGACTATTAGAGGTTTTTTAACTAATAAATAATAATCTAATAGTATACAATACAATAGAAATGTCTTTTCCATATATTCTCTCTGGTTGTGTTACTACTACATGCTTTACACAATTAATCATATCATAATAGATAAATATCTTTTCAACATAGGTCATCGAAAGGATCTCAAAGACCCACCAAAGCACGAAAGTCGATATTTTTCACAAAATAAATTCCTATTCAAAGAGTGAATAATTGCATGGATAAGCTCACACTAACCCGTTAATTTAAGATCTAATTTGGTATCTTCTTTGGGAAATATTGGGAAGGAATTGAAATGTTTGTTGTGATGTTTCAGCTTAAGGTTAAGGTATTTATAAAAAAAATCTATGGTCCTGGATCTCGGGCTCTCAGTAAGTAGCAACCACTTTTAGGAGTGTGAGAGTGGAAAGTCAACTCCCATATTATTCAGGAGGATGTTATTTCCCCCTTTGCCTCCCTCTCTCGTACTGTTGGGATATGCTACTTCATATTCCCATGAACGGACGTGTAATCCATGAAACGAGCGACAAAACCAAGAATTGGATGTCCGTTCCAATAAATGGGCGACTAGAAGATAGGTGTAAGAAATACATTATATCGTCCTCCCTTAATGGACCTCATGTGTCACCTCTTATGGATCTTTTATAAATATATCAATACATAGTCTCTCAAACACCTGGGATGGAAAGAGTGAAATGACTTTGCTACCCTTCTTATCTGGACAAGTCCCTCGGGAAAGGGGTGAGTCCCTTAAGTAAGGGCAATTCCTTTAAGCATGGGGCAAGTCCTCTAGTGTGGGGCGAGTCCTTCAAGCATGGGACGAATCCCTCAAACATGGGGTAAGTCACTCAAGAATGGTGAGAATCCCTCAAGCATGGCTTGGAATATACCTCCAGGTGTCAGCGAGGTGAGTCCTCATGCATCAGCTGAGGAAAATCCCCAAACACAATTCAAGGTGACATTGGACGTCAAATTAGCCTTAATCTCTCATAGGTGTCAGAAGCGTGCAAAGCCTTTCACATTTGATGGGAAACCTATGAGACCTTTGAGCATCCCTAGTCTTTAAACCTCTATAAAGGGATTCAACCCTAACTCTTCTACTTTTTCATACATTTTTGTCTCAAAAGTCCTTGAGAGCTTCCTCTAAATCTTTCGCGAATCCTTCAGCATTCTCAATTTCAAGTCCTCATTTACAGGTATAGGTCAATACCATTTATTATCCTTTCTCTTGTTTATGGCAATAATTAGGGATTTAGACTAGAGTGGCAACTAAGTGGATCCTTCGACTCGTAATGAGCACATGGCCGTGTGGAATCACTGGTATATAAACTCCAAACGTTATGACGGGATGGTTGACTACAAATTGATGGAGTTAGGCATGCTTAATAGTTCTGAGAGTTCCATTAACTCCGATAGTAATTATAGTAGTGGTAGTAATAATAACTCTTTTTTCCTTTCTGTTTGCCTAGAAAATAGGAAGCAAATGTTCGTCTCTAACCTTGAGCGCAAGCCTCGTCCATAAAAATTCATCATTTTATTTATTATTTTATACAGTTTCCGTGTTTTTTTTTTAAATTCACTTATAGCAGCACTTTTGTATAAAAGGTTGTCTAATGTGCGCTGTTAAAAGCCCTTTTTGGCGTAGTATTTACGAATAACTTTCAAATATTTTATTTTTTAATTAGACGACAATGTAAATGTGTTAGTTGTAAATCCCTTTTAGTTATTTGGCTAAAATCTATGTAATAAGTTGGTTGAAAATCAGCTAAATTAATTATAACAAACTTTCAACAGTTGACTTTCTTGCATTATAAGCAAATATAAATTGGTCAATTAGTCAAATTAATTAATGAGATTGAATCCTAGTAAGTGGTATCATCGAGCTTAGCATTATACACATTCATCATCATCATCTTCCAGGGAAACACGAGAGTTTATCGAACTTTCTTGAGTGAAATTCTTTCTTGGGTTGGAAGCATGAGTGTTGTGAGGCTTATGAGGTGCAATGCACTATTTGTGGCATCTTCCTCAGGTTCTTGAAGGTTGTTGTAGTCATAGTCAATGAGGGAAAACAACTTTGGTCACCCAACCATTCTAAGTTTGATGGACATTATGATCATTGATTCATGCTTATGGATTATTTTTTTGGATCAAAGGAGTGTTGGACAATTATGGAAGAAGGTGGACTTGTGTTAGAAGCCACACCAATACTAGAACAAAAGAAACTTGTAGGTGAGAGCCAATTGAAAGATCTTAAAGCAAAGAATTACTTGTTTCATTCAATTTATATAGGCATAATTGAAACTAACATTGATAAAAGCTCTTCAAACACTATATATGACTCCATTGCCAAGAAGTATAAAGGATTCACAAAAATGAAGAGGGCTCAATTGCAAGCCCTAAGAGGGGGAGTTTAAGATGCTTCAAATTAACAAAGATGAATATGTTGATGAGTATTTGAAAAGAAATCTTGCAATTGTAAACAAGATGAATATTCAAGGGGAGAAAATAGAGGAACGAACAATTTTTGAAAAAATATTTTGATCTATGGCAACAAAATTCAACTATGTGGTTTATGCAATTGAAGATTAAAAAAATGTTTAAACTCGGTCAATTTATGAACTTCAAGGATTTCTTCAGGTACATGAGAAGAAATTTAAACATGTTTGTTATTTCTCTGAAATTATGATTGACATGAATTTTGGTAAAACTAATCTTGCAACAACATGTTGAGCAAAATGTTTCAACTTGCAGTTTCAACATGTCGAATGTGATGTCCTAACTAGAAGAGCGAGACATTTGGTCTATTACAGTTTTGCAGTTTGGAAGATGTTTCAACTTTCTGTTTGAACATGTCGAA